TACTGTGGTGTTATGGCAGAATCTTTATTTCAGCGTATTTCAGGCATATTCATTAAAGTCACATGGTAAGCTATATGATGTGTGTTACTGAGTTGGGTCACACAGAGTTAGAGAGACAATGGTCGTTCTGAATTATCAATGGATGTATTCATTTTAAGTGAGCTGACACGAGGTTGAAGTTCAGAGAAGGCCTCAGGTTCTAAAAACAGTTAACCTTTGTTAGTTTACTACTCCTAAGGATGTCATGAGATGATGACTTTTCAACATATACAAGTATGGCTTTCAGAGAGAAAAACATGTGACCTTTGTGTGGTAGGCTGCATGATAACATGTGTGTGCGTTCATTGCAGTGGCTATATATGCTGTATGATTGTTGCTACTGTTGGGGGGCATTTCCGCGATTGGCTGCTGTGGCAGCAGGTGATGTACTCCCCATTGTTGTTTGTTTGTTGCAACAACGAAATAATGATTACTGATCAACTATATCTGTGTTTGTGTTTTATTGATTCCTCTTGTTTCATTCTTTCCTGTTGTGAGTGCTGGATTGCCACAACAGTGGGAATTAATGGCTAATTTATAAAAATGGTATACAACAATCTATATTTTCCACATGATGAGTCATGCAGACTTTTCCTCTAGTGGACTCACCAAGAGATGTTTGACTTTTAGGAAACATACTTCCATAGCTGTTGGATAATTTGTCATAAAATATGGTTAACACGTTCACTTCCCCCCTCAAGATTAATTGTAATAACTTTAGTCTTCCCCTGACTACATTTTAATTTTCCCAGTGCTTTTTATTAGATTAAATTCATGCAAAACTAATGACATTCCTATCAGCTCTACTTAGTGTGGGGATTGGAGCTAAGGGCTAAGTTAACACAGTCTAATGATGGATACGTTTAACACTCTTTTAAGCATTAATAAGTTAATCAATAAAAGTTAATAATCCCTCCAGAGAAGACAACAATTATATATCCTGTTAAACTAAAACCCTTGAAATAATTGGCTGTTATATCGATTATCGATAAATATTAAAAATTATTTTCTTAATGCAAAAATGGCAGAAGATTATGTTTTCCAGCCTCTCTGTATATATATATATATTTCCAATTAAAACAAACTATATGTACTGAAACATGAAGATTTTTATTTTAAAAAACAGTAATGATGGGGATCGATCCCTTAATTTTTATTTATTTTTTGGTTAAATGTTCTATTTAATGTATTTATTGTGTTATTTACTTTTTTCATATTTTCTATGCTTTTTGAGACCAACAATTGTTTTTGACTATAGTACTGCCATTTTCTAAATTGGCCAATAAAAACATGAATAATACCAAAACAACTTCATATACATACCGAGCAATAACAACCAACACAGTTCACTGATCATTCATGTAATGCTTCTTTATCTACATAACCAGATGATTTTGGAACTGAGGAAAGGCTTCAGTCCCTGAGATCAAATCTATTATCTCTCAGCGATCATCTGATCTCCTCACTGATTGTCCCTGAGGCGGGCGGACCCTCACCGTGCCCTCAATCAGTCTCCGGGGGGGGGAGGGGGGGCAGCATGATGAAGGAGCTGACTTTGTGATTACGCTGCGATCTTTATGAATGGAATAACAGAGAGCGGTGTTAAATCCTCCTGATGGAGGCGAGGGTGTGCTGGGTGGAGCCCCTCCCATGTGACGGAGGAGATAAAAGACTGGAGATAATGAAGCAACTGCCTCGACTCTTTCTCTACTCACACGGCTGTTTCATTAAAGGAAGTTCTGTAAGGACACATATAATATAAACTACCAGCCTGTGTGCCTCTGAATATAAATTGTGTGTGTGTGTGTGTTTATCAGCAGCGCAGGGGGGCGTGATGATGGCGGCTGCTCACTTTTACACCAAAGTTTCTGCTCTGATGGTCTCTGGGGAAATTACTGAACTCATGAACAACTGAAGTTACTTTCAGGCTTTACACATTTATACTGCCCTTTGTACACATTTATACTGCACTATGTACACATTTATACTGCCCTTTGTACACATTTATACTGCACTATGTACACATTTAAACTGCACTATGTTCACATTTATACTGCACTTTGTGCTTTAAAAAAATATGTATAAACATTTAAAAAACTGAAATAGCCTTTTCTGTTTAAGTTCAATAACGATACTTGAAGTCTATTTTCTTTTTATTAAAATAACTTCTTTGCTTTAGCTTCAGTTTTCTGTATGTGAGAAGGCATGAGTATTGTCTAAATATTGAATTATATTTTAAGTTATTCATATGTGTATTCATTCATATATATCTCTTAATTTGTGCTTATCTTTGTATTGGTTTTGTGAGTAGAATGTGCAAACAGGAGTTCAACTGTTTTTCATTCACTGCAAGTACTGCAGTTTTAACACAAATATTAAACAAATAAGTTAATGTACATGTATACATATATACCAGAGCAATACAGCGTACCAACCTGGACAATTTCTTTATCTTGCCCTTTTTTAAACACATGTCTTCTTCAAATGCCATGATTGGCTTTTAATGTCACTATTCATTTCAAAAGATGTCGGTGTCTGCTGGTGGTCAGACTAATGGTGCTATAATAAGTGACTTCTGAAAGATATTGAGTCAGATTAAACAATAATCGACCTAGCTATAGAGCGGCTTTAGTGGTGGCAAAATCAAACGATCCTGCAGTGAGTACAGAGGAAAGTGTCGGACGTTGTAAATACAGCAGGTTTTTATTACCGGTGTAACATGTGTATCTGTTGGAGGAGTTGTTCACATGGAAGCATCTCTCCACGTGGATCCAAAGATAAGTGTGCAGCCTCGTGCAGTTTGGAGGATGCTTTTATCCAAAACGCCTGACACAACCTGCAGCCACATATATTTTGTAAGATGAATAAACCCGGAGAGGAGAATAACACTCGCTCTGAAAGTGTCATTGACTGAAACATGTTGAAATGTTTTCAGCACGGAAATGTTGCCTGAGCATACATCCTTGAGAGAAAATGGCTTGCGATCGGTGAGGCACTGAATGTGTTCTTTCATGGTTGTGAATTTGGAAAACATGCAGTGGATGTGTGACATTCTTTTACAGATGAGTTATTTTGAAATGTTGTAATGTTCACATCTGACCTTGAAGGCACTAAAGAAAGTCTCCTTGTGAAGCTGAACTCTTTGTCAATGAACTGGGTATGCTTTTTAAAAACGAAAAGAGAGAAACATTAAAGAAGAAACTGGCTTGGGTCAGGTTCTTTGTTCTCAAATATTATAAACATATCTGGGACACACAGTACACATATATTATGTTAGACCCCCCCCAAAAGTTATATTTTTATACATATGCATGATATAGACTTACAACTGTACTATGACTTCTATACTGTGAGTTAGTAGTACCAACCATAGTATAGTATGTCATAAAAATATATTGATATCATATCATATACAAAAAAAAAGTTATATTATAGTAAAAAAACATAATATACTATGACTGTTTTTTTCATTTATATAATATACTTTAATTTAGTTTTATCCACATATCATAAATACTATAAAGAATTTTCTTTATGAATTATTTTACAGTGATTTTTTTGACATACTAAACTCTTCCACGCAACTATTTATACTTCAATATGACTTGTTCAATGACATACTATCTTATGACTTTTATTTTTTATAGAAACCCATGTCCTAATAATGTCCTTAAAAAAAGTCACATTAATTCATACTATACTATTCATATGTAATGACATTCTATAAGATTTGGAAACTGTAATGACATACTTCACTTACACCCATTTATTGTTTCATCAATTTATGACACACTTTACCGTTTTCGATGTTATGACACTAGATACTATGCTGACTATAACTTGTTCAGTATATATTTGACAGATGTCTTTATATTATACTGTTCCATACTCCTTTTATGTAATTCACTTCAGAAACACTTTTTGTTATATTCCATGGAATGCTCTTGAATAGCAATGAATATCTTAAGTGCTTTGACAATAAATACATACAAATATTTCATCTGTGGAAGCCGTGGCGCTGTAAAAAGCACGACCAATCATCTGAGCCGGCCCGGCTAAAATAACTGGATGGCCTACCTGCCTGTCAGCCTTCCATCTGTGCACAAACGTATCTCGTGCCCTCATTGGTCATGTGCGCGTTCATGTGTGTTGGAGGAGGGGCTCTGTAAGGAAGTCTGGAGGAAGGGGCAGATTTTTTCCGGTTGTGTACTTTCAAATTCTAGCGCACTCGAGCTGGTTTCTCCATTCTTACCTACCCTACCTTTAAGAAAGGTCTGTCATAAAGACCTCATTAAAAAAAATCACAGTATAACATGGTTTCTTATAACTTACTCTGACATTTCTTGGGACATACTATACCATGCCATTTTATGCCACTCGTTTATTTAAAATAATATATTATATTTGTATGACTTTTTTTCAAAGACCTAGTGTACTAATATACTAATTGTTTGTGACATCCTTAACCAAGTCATGTTTTAACGACCTATTAATTATATTTGTATAACTACAAATGAAAATAAAATACAAAGCGCTTACTGTATAGTGATCAAAAGGCTGGAGAGTTATTCTGTTTAAATAACTTGCTCATACTTATCACTTGTGGGTGAGCTGTAGTTGAGTTTGGTTCAGAAGCATCCTCAACAGTTCAGGGTTTTCCTACATTATTTAAATATATTTGACATAAAATGATAAGCTACTATCACCCATGCTGCCCTGCTTTCTTTGTGATTAAGGTTAGAGATCTTCATGTTTAACAATTGTATTTCCTCTGTTTGCTAATTATAATTATACGTCATGCCTCTCTGCAAGATACACAGACCCGAAGGCACAACTGAGCCTTGACCTTGTTCTTGAAGCATAATAATTGGCAACCGGCTGTTTTAACTCCTAAAGGAAACGTGTCAATGTGTGATTTGTGTTCCAGGATTTAATGAGGAAAAGAAGAAACAATAACACACTTTCTTTCATGGTCTATCTTTTATTGTTGGGTAAAATGACAAGCGTGTTTTCTCTATATAAATAACAATCACATGAAGGAACGTACAGACATGGCTATGTGGCGGTGAAAGCGGTGATAGTGATCACAATGTGCCCGTACAGGATGCAGATAATGAAAGCTGTGTGTTGTGTTTTCATTTCTTAAAAAGGAGAGTGTTGATTGTGAACAGAACCTGCGTCAATCAGTACATACAATGGGAAAGTAATGGACTCACGGTCCACCGCTATGTACAGAACATAGAGAGAAACGGTCAGAGGTCATCATCAGCAGTACAGTACAGTCAGGGAAATCAAATTAAAATATATTCGAGTTAAGATTAAACAGGAGAGACGGAATTACTAATCTGTACAACTCAAAAGTCCTTACTAAATGTGAATACAGTTGCCCATTGTGATTCACAGAGTCAGAGTGCTAGGGTGAAAATGCATAGAAATGTGTCCAGCTAGGAAACCGCTTCACTCTCCGGCTACGTGTCTACAGCAGGAGCTTCCAGAAAGAGTTGTTTGTCAAAAGACCCTCTACTTAAATACAACTACCCCACCCTCATTACTTCACATCAAAACATGCTGCAAATGCACGTCATCAAAAGCTCACTCTAAATGCCTTTCCTATCTTCTTTTCTTTTTGGTCCAGAGATGTTTAAAGTTATGATTTTCTTCCCACACACTAGTGCTCTAAATCCCTAGTTTCACAATGTGGAGTGTATAACGCTGGTACGATTAAACTAACACTGCCACCGACTGTCATGTTTCTGCTTTGGACTAATAAAAGGGAAAACAATAAAGATATCATTCAGAACCGTCCAACGCTGGTTATACATTTTGGATTAAAGGTTACAGAGCGTAATGACCACTCGGCCTCCACTTCAAACGGGATAGGATCACAGCGAGGGCTCGTTTTAATTAGACTGAATCAGGGAGGGGCGGAGAGACGAGAGCGGTGGGTCTGTGAGGAACCACGCTCACCACGAATGGAGGGTCAAAGGAGGAGGTGCAGTCGGCAGTCACACGGGGAATAATTACGCTAATTCCTCTGACGGAGGGGAATTTTCCTTGAAGGCACAGGAAAAAGTTGGGATGGGAAAACTAAAAGTACAAGAGTAAATTCGCACATATACAGTTCATATATATATATCTATTTCTGCCAATTCAGATAGATATTAGTTTTGTTTAGAGATTATCTACAGCATTCCCACACACTAAATATAACCGATTGTGAATAATAATGCAACGTTGCACATGTTTACCAATTTTCCTGAAAAAGATCACCAGCAATAACTTTATGTTGACTTTAATGTGAACCACCCATGATTAACTTGGCTTTAAGACATTAACAATCAATTACTCCCTCATGTGTATTTTCTTTTTATACAAATCGTCAATTTGGTTTCTGAATCTGTGGTATCCACTATCACGTTCCCACAAAATTAAAACATCTGCAACAGAATTCAGTGCAACAGTACCTTTTGAGTGAAACAAAGCTCATTGGGCGTTCTAAGACTCGCCGACCCACACCACCACGTTGCCTTTGAGGACGTCGGTGATCTCACAGTTGAGCTTGTTGAGCCGTCCGTCCAGAACGAAGAGGGAGTCTCGGGAGGGGGTCATGAGGTACTGTCCGAACAGACCGCTGCCTGCCATCACCCTGTTCCTGCCGCTCCACGGCCACTCGAACGCCTTGGTGGCCTCCTTCAGGCTCTTGATCATCTTCACTTTGCCGCTGCTCAGCTCCACGAACAGAGCGTCCGTCTGGCGTCCCGAGCTGCCGAACACGTTGTACTGGTGGAGCTCGGTGAAGGAGCGCTGGAAGGCCAGGTCGGACAGGTGGAGGTTGGTGTGGATGTCGAAGGGCTCCTGGATCTCTCCGCGCTCCGAGACCACCTGGATCCTCATCAGGCCGTCGCTGTCGTCCACGGTCACCAGGTAGTGGCCGTCCGGAGACACGTACGGCGTGCCGGTGACGTCTCCGTTCTGTCCGATCAAGCTGTCTGTCACACTGTCCACGATGAGCTGCGGCTGCGAGGCGCCGGTGGAGTCGGGCCTGCAGTTGACGAAGTAATAACCGCCGAGGTGTGTGTAGGCTACGGACTTGGGGATGCAGTTGAACTCCCGTAGGCTGATGTTTTTCACATAGGACATCGTCTCCAGGTCGATCTTGTGGAGGACAGGCTCATTTCTGTGAAGAATGAGGCCATATCTGTAGACAAGAGAAAAACAGAGACAATTATTTAATCAATATCACATTTTGACTTCTTGTGAAGGCGAAATTGTGACAGATTTTCCGCCATGTTAACATCATGGCTCTAGAGATGGCAATCGGTTGAATGACCTCTTTAGTCCAGAACAAGTCCAACATATATTGGATCGAGAGCCATTGAATTTTGTGAAGAGATCCATGAGAATGATCCTTAATATCCAATGTTATATGTTTAACATATCTGATCATTTAATGAGTAAAATACCACCATCCCATCATCTCCGTTTAGTGCTACCTAGCATGCTTAACAATCTTAACAAAGAGAGTACAATGGGAAACATTTTACCTCTTAAATCTTACCTTGGCTGAAGTGTTTAAGAGAATCTAACAATTAAAAGACAGCCACACTTAACAAGAAACACATTGAACTAAAATACATTTTAATTGTGTGCAACAACACTCTTCTTAGACAAGACACCAAAGTTAAAGTAAAAGCAATCATGCATTGTGTTAGAACATCCACTTAGAAGTCAGGAATGTGTCAGAAAAAAAGTAGTGATTCATTTTGCTTAAAAATAAATCCACACATCAACTTGAATTACCTATAACTTTTGCTTGGTATTGTTGGGCTGGCAACCCTTCTTTAAAGACATGTTAAGGGAAAAATCCAATAGTTATCTGAGAGATCTATTAAACTAATAGCAGTGGTCCCTTTCAATCTTCACATTGACAGTCTAGCATCATCTACACGTTCCCCTCTAATAGAATTATTGCAGTTTTATATGTGGCCATGGATCAGTGGGAAAAGTATTCATTACAAAAACCCAAAGAATCCTAATGGCACATTATCTTTTAACAGCTGAACAAGTAGACGGGTAATATGCAAGGAGCCGACATGCCTCAATTAAATGTGAATACCAACTGATCGATGCTGACAGCCACTTCAATCTTGCCGTCATTCATCATTTTTCATGCCATTTGAACACCAAGCTGTCTGTACCTGCGAACAGAAAATGGCTGTTTGAAAGCCATATTATTATCCCCGCGGAGGGAACCATTGATCCAGAGATCGTTCTGACCACTGGGTCCAGACAGGAGGCAGCGCTGAGCTGATTCAGACAAAAATGAGGAGACGATAAAGGTGATCTTTAAAATGGTGTGATGCCAGGTAGATGTTTTTCGGATTACGTCCAAATTGTATTCCAAATGTCTTTTCCCTTTCTAAGAATTGTTGTCCTTGGACTATCTGGTGGGTTTCTGGCATGTCAAAAAGTGTGTTAGGATTTCTTGCAGTTACAGTAGTTCTGTGATTTCCCACAAACATCTGCTATAAAATATAGTGAGCTTGTTTAAACAGTATTGGAATATTTCTCCTTTGTTTACACTTAAGAAATTGAACTTAAAGGGGACCTATCATGCAAAATACACTTTTGTACGTCTTTTATACATGAATATGTGTCCCCGGTGTTCCAGGGAACTCACCAAGTGTCAGAAAACACAACCCTCTCTCTTTTAGTCCATACCCAAATCTCTAAAAACGGGGCTGCAACAGATCTGATACAGACTGATCCAGATTTTAAATTGTTCTGATGTCAGAAACAGGGAGCTCCGCCTATATGGGCAACTCTCCACCTATCAGGGGAATGAGAGGTTGCCGTGGCATGGTAACACGACGCTCGTGCCTCGCCCCCCTCCTTTGCAGGGGGGCGTGGTCAGCTGCAGCTCATTTGCCACAGAATCAGCCCATGCAAAAATAGGGCTGGAAAAGAGCAAATAGAGCGAAATGAGGCATGGCTAAAATGCATGATCTGTTTGGTATTATGAAAAAAAAACTTCACAGACATGTTTTATATAGGTATGGCCCTACAATATATTATTCAAATACAGCATGATAGGTCCACTTTAATGAAGACATTTAAAATAGGAAACTATAATTGATGATTTGCTTTTAGCTAACAGTGCTAACCTGTGGGAGAATCCAGGGTTGTGGGTTCTGCTTTTCTACATGACTCCCCTTTATCTTGTATAGCTAGGCTGTGTGTGCCGCTTTAATAATGCTGTGAATGACATAGAACATTTAACAATGAGGAGGTTGTATGTCTTGACTTTATGTGAAAACCAACCAAATTGGCTTTATGTGACTGTTATCTGTCAGTTGGAATAAATCCAAACACAAGCGCTCTGACACTTATCAGGTTATTGATTGTAGTTTACCCCTGCACCTTTATCATTATAAAAAGCTTGAAAAGACAAATATTGTTTTATTTTTAAATGTCCTGTGCAGTTTAAACCCGACATCTTTTTCCTCCACTGTTAAAGACCAATATTCCCGCTCCGTCAAACTCTGCTGAGGAAGCTTTGCCATGGATTGGATTTAATCTGTTGTGACAGATCAATGGGCAGCACACACTTACTGTGATATAAGCAACATGCTTGGAAGTTAAAAGGTCAATGCTGCATTGATCCTGCTATGAAAAGATTATTTTCACCAGCAGCAGGATGTGTTTTCATGTAAATTAATAATCAGACATTGTTTGGCCTCACACACAGCTGGGTTGCTTGGTTGGCAGACGCAGATTGCTCTCAGCAAACTGACAGCTGTTGTTTGTCTTTTGTACCGATGATTAATACATGAAAGGTTTAACTAAAGACACATCTACATGACAATATTTTCACTTTACGAAGTGACTGGGTCTCAACACTTTGGTCTGCAGTTCAGTTACTGCTCCTGAGGGCTAAATTAATAAACAGGGAATAACTGCTGCATACTTAAAAATATCGGTAACACAGCAATTCTTGTTCAGCTGGTGAAAAAATAAACGGATTAACATCTCCCCCAGCTTGTTGTGTCGTGAGGCAGGCGGAGGAAAGGTGCATCCAGCTGCAGGGTGCTGTACAGCCAGTACAAATAATAAACAACAGGGTTTTCTGCTGACATGCAGAGTTCCCTGACTGTAGGTCGATGGTTTAATGAATGACAGCCCCCAGAAGTTCCTGCTTGCTTTATAGTTGCTGCTGAGGGAATCCGAGTCATTAAACAATCCCCGGAAGTTGCTGAATATATGTCTGCTGCTCACACTCTGCTCATGTTGCTAAATCGCCTAATCAATGCTGCGTTCCTGCCAACAGACAAATGGCTGTCTGGGTACAAGACCCGGAAATATAAAAATCTTGCCCACGAGGCAGGACATTTCAACTTTTCAAAATGTCTGCAAAACAACAACATCCATGCACACATTGATCTAAAGCTCTATGTGTACTTCAACTGCATACTTTTGAATGTTCAGAGTAAATATACAGATTATGTCACCGTGTAAAAGAGTCTAAATTTGTAACAACATTGGAACATGCAGAGCCAACAGCGTCTAAATGTGCTTCCTCCATCTGCCTCGGCATAATGCAGCGAATCACATCATGAACAGAGACCCAAGCTAGTCAGAATAAACCATCACTGAGGACATGAGGACATGAGGACATGAGGTGGAAACGTTTCTATAACTTTGACACAATCCAAGAAAACATCCCTCTGAAGTACGGGCCAAATAAACCGTTTTATGTACTTTATGAAGAAACACTTCATATTGCAGGACTAGTGTAATGTACAGTATGTACTACATTACTTGGTGTAGGTTGTTTTTGTCATTTTTTGGTCAACTGTCAGTACGTTTTTTTCATGTTTTACTTTAATAGCTTCCAAATAATGAGAATTTGCTGTAAAATGAATATCTTTAGAATTTATACTGTCAAACTTTTGAAAGGTTACAATGGCAATTTTCTGACTAAACTACAAAACGTAATAATTTGTTATTTTCTGTAAAATAAATACAAACATTTGTGGGACTTTTGTGACAAAATGACCTAATATCAGTTGAATGTTGCTATTTGGTATTCATGCTTGTAAGGTGAATACATCAACTACCAGGCAATGAGCTGACCCATGTAAGATGCAAAACATTCAAACAATGTAAAAGCATTGTGATTTACATTTTGCCACTTAAACTTATTTGAATGGACCTGGCAGTAGCAGTTAAAAGATATTTTCTAAGAGCTTCGAAAATGATGAGCAACTAGTCGGTAAAAATGGCCATTTCCAAACACCACTGTTTTGTTTCCTGCAGGTCTCACTGGGTCTGATTACAGTCGAGGCAGAAAACCCCCCACACCACCCTGGACCCTCACTAGGGGAACGTTAACATCCGGAAGTCCTGCAGACCTCCTGCTTGTTCCTGGACTCTCCGTGACCTCAGTCTAACGTTAGGGACCGACTTTACTGTCCAAGTTTAACCTGAGTGAGACGACCTCAGCAGAATGTCTGTGCTCGATTAACTGAAATGTCAGAGGAGGAAAAGTGCCCACTGTCCCCGTGTGGAAACATATAGCTTTATAATTAGGGAAATAAACATAAATAATTAATGCAAGACTAAGTGCACTAATGACCTATTGAATTACTTTTATTGGGAAAAGAACCTGCCTCTAACCATATGCCAACAAACCTCAGCATCAGCACTGAGGAGGTGTTGTAATTCAATCAATGTGTCTCTGATAATGTTTAAAAGAAAAATGCCAGCAGCTATTCACATTCTGTCTAATTCAGTTTTTCTTTGAAAGTTTATAACAACTGCGTGTGTATGTACATTTAAAGAACGAGCAAACACAAACCTGCATGGCTTTTGAAACGAGGCAGAGCTGAGTTACTGCTGCATGTACTCATCATTCTGGTGCTTAGCAACATAATTGCACTGCCTACCTTTGTGTTATAAGCATAGCTGGTTACAGCAGTGTGCTCAAACACTGAGAACCTTCTTCACAGCACTCAGGTTTCTCACAAAATAAAACCAAAAAAGAAAATGGCAAATAAATATCTGCAAATGTGCCATTATGACCTGACATTTTGAAGACTAAGAAATGAATGAAGAAAATAGGCATTAGCCGTAGTCTTTGTGGCTTAAAGATCAGTCTTATGAACACCTAATCTGTCTGAAAGCTTCTTATGTTGAAGGTTGTTTTGATTTTTTAACCTTCGCTCAGAGGAAGTTTTCATCGCTTAGATCTAACTATTCTGATTCTGATAGCAAAACAATAACAGGTGGTGTGTTTAGCTTAACTCAAACAACCTTTCTGTGTCTATTTGGAGAATTGTGCACGAAAGCAGCTCTAAGAAATAGATTTGTTTCTTCGATGTGATACATTTTTAATCAAGAACATGTTCTATGGGGATCAGAGTTAGTAACTGGCTTCTGGATTTAAAAATGGGATATAAAAAGTTAATTCCACAGCTAATGTAACTAAGGGTTTATTTTTAGATCTTTTCCAGGTGATTGGCTACGGTTTCTGCAGCCCAGACGACCGCTGGGCCGTTCTTCAAAAAACTCCCATTAACGCCGTAACAGAGCGGCACACACACTCCGTTTCACACCAAATGCCCGTCCAAATCATTATCACAGTATTGAGTCTAGCAGAAAAAAAATTCAATGAAATGCCAATGGGGTGAATGTAATTTGCAAATCAATTTGCATTAGCAGCGCTCTTGGATCCTGCCGGACGCACCTGATGTGGTTAATGATGAGGCTGGAGGCGGGGAGGAAGAAGTCGTCCACCCGGTCGAAGCGTCTGCCGATGGGCTGCGTGTGAACCGTGTGATGGGAGACTCGCCCACTGGCCTGATTGATCACCTGGTGAGCACCAACAAAGAAGAAGGTGGGCGTTAAATATGAGCGTGATGAATACAGTCAGTGCTGCAGGTTTAAGTCTTTAAGTCACACTGTAGCTTATCACTTTTAGCTTATGAGTTGATGTAGTTGAATATACAGGCAAAAAACTAGGCATTTATTAGGTAATTCACCTGCTAAGAGAGTTATTATTATGAGGGTATCAACAACATACTGTACATGTTTTGCTAAGAAAAAAACGGTAAAATCTGTAATGGAGTATATATCAGCAGTAATTAACATACAGCTTAGAAAAGATCATGATCACATATCTTAAAAACTGAGGAGGTCTTATTCTGCTCATTTTCAGGTTCATATCAGTATGTAGTGTCTCTCCTGTGACATGTCTCCATGCTTTAATGTTCAAAAAGCTCTTTATTTTTCTCATACTGCCTGTGCGCACCTCTTTTCACCCTCTGTCTGAAAACAGAGCCCAGTCTGCTCTGATTGGTTAGCTGGCCGGCTCTGTTGTGATTTGTCAACCACTTAGAGATGTCCCGCCTCTTAGCCTATCACGCACAATGTGTTGGAGCGCTAGCCAATAGAAGCGCTAAGTGTTACATAGAATTGTAGCCTTTGCAGACTATTCACATGCACACAAACCTACATAACACTCTACAGGGAAAATGGAAACATATAAATAGGGCCTCTTTAAATTATATATTTTTTTGTCCCACTATGGATATCAGCACTTTATCTAACTCCAAATGTGCTGGAGCTTAAACAATTGGAAATGTGTCACTCTCCAAATATTTACCCAGTGAACTGAAAGTGATTATTAAGCGCCTCTCATCAAGCAAGACAAACAAATCCAGGATTGGAAATCCCTGAGAGGCTGCAATGATTACTGCAACATTCATTCCATATTGGAACAAAGGGAACATCTGGTCATTTTAATAGTTAGTTCCCTGAGAAGACAGTCATTTTTCGGGTGATTTGAAATAAACTGTACCTGTGTTGCTGAGAAAAAGATGTTGCAGGTAAAATAAAGTGTGAACGTAACTAATCATTGTGTTTGTATGACTATTACATTGTTTTGTTGACAAACCTTTATATCAGAGTCTATGCAAAGAAATCATTTTGATATTGTAATCAGCGCTTGTCGACTGATGTGAAATGTTTTTTATAATGATGGTAATCTATTCAAATCAGTACACGTCATGACTTAATCGTTTGAGTCCCTTTTGAAGCAATGCCAAACGTTTTGCTAAAATAAGCTTAGAGGAATACTTGTCATTATTTTTGATGTCATGTAATATTGTCATTCTTTAAAACCAGTGACCAGTTAATTTATTGCTATTATGTAGATTTCTGATGTGAGATACAAGCCCTCAGTCTTTCTCCTTATTTCTGAGCTGTGTGAGCTTCAGAGTAGGGCTGTGCGATTATGGCAACAATCATAATCACGATTATTTGGGTCAATAATTGATATCACGATTATTAAATACGATTATTCATTGACTTTGAAAAAATCCATTTATTGAACTTTAAAACAAATTCAAATAATAATTTGAACAGTATATTTTTAACTGTTGATTACTCTGAACGTATAATTCAACTGAAAAACCAATACAAAAATAAATAAAATAAATGATACATTTAAATAAATAATATCAAAATAATAAATACCAATAAACAAGATCAACAAATATTTTTGGAGCGCACTTCCCCAAGCTACTAAACATATATAAATATGATAAATACAAATAAATGAGACCAAAATTAATTAGATCAAATATGTTGCACTGTCACAACCTAGCAAAGCTAAATAATTGTTTTTTTCGATTATGTTGTTTTCGTAATTGTGGCAGGCCAAAATCGTGATTGCGAATACGATTAATTGCACAGCCCTACTTCAGAGTGTGCGCTGTTGTCACCACTTTCTACATAACACTTGTGCATGCAGAGCAGACATGTGCAGGTCTGCTTTGATTGTGCCACAATGCACAAAGCAAATTTCCACAGACCAAACCTTGCATTATGAATTTCTGTGCAGGCGATGAAAAGCTGAATTTGTTAAGCAAGTAAAACCACTCGAGCTGCATCGAGATGACCCTCAGAGGAAGAAAAATATGTTTTTATTTGAAATGTATTACCATTTCATTACATATTTATTGATTCTATTTGTAGCATGATCTTCAAATCTGTATCAGGGTGACACAGTCTGTAAGTGTAAGGACGGTGACTCTTCTATTCAACATGAAGTTGTTTACACCAATATTTAGATAACATTATATGACTTCTAACCATGTTTTTGACCTGCTGAAACATATATAAATATTTAACTATTTCCCTATTCGGCTATCATTGATGTGACCACTATGGTGGACCGCTATGCTGGGTAATTGGACTTGTTGATGTTCTAGAGTTTAGCAGTAAATTGTCCTTTGTTTTTCTCCGGCCAGAGAGAATGAGGCTTTTGTTTTTTATTTGATGCAAAATCAAACCCTCCTCCATGTTTACCTGTTGTCTTGTTAGATCAGTAAAGTGTCCATTTCCACATCACCAACACAATCATTCAAATGTGACTTTTCTATTTCCTAAACAATAAACTCTTCCCTTAGACTTTTAATGTAAAACGTTTTGAGTATTGTTGACATCCGTTTAAAATATTTCACAGGCATGTTTAAGAAGATACAATTAATTTGAGTTTGGAAACTTTATTTCTGAGTCACTTTTCAAGCAAGAATGCCAAACTTTTTGCTAGTTCAATTTGTGATTAATACTTGTAATGAAAGATTTATTGTTGATGTTAAGATTTCATTTGCTGATTATTGTGTCATGGCTTGACCTTGATAAATAAAGAATTCAACATGTTGATATTGTTAACAGCACTAGATGGTGAATCAGTTGAAACATTTGAGTTGTTCAATATTTGTAGGACATTGCAATCTAAAGCCATCACTTTGGCCGTGATGGACATTTGTTATCACTCGTGAAAATAATTAACATATTTTGTGATATTTTGTCAAGAAGACACTCTCACATATTCCAGCCCTTTACGAATTAACTTTTGATCAAATCCTGACAATGCTGAACGTCATCATATCAGTGCTTGAGTCTCATTCTCAGCCTTTTCACAGGGATACATCTCTGCAGAGATACTGTATATATCTAGTTAGAGCGGAGCACGACTCCTGACTTTTCCTTGTGTTTTTATTTTTATTTTGTTTTTTATATATATCTGTTGTAATTTATTGTCGTTTATTGTGATTGTAGTAATGTGTTTTTATTACATGTACAGCACTTTGGCTCGACCAAAAATCGCTTTTAAATGTGCTATATAAATAAAACCTGATTTGATTTGATTTGATATATCATGTGGGGGTTTTATTCAGGACATTGTGGACTCACCTGGAGAGTGGGGAAGTTCTTCTCCACGTCTCCCCAGCTCAGCAGCCACACCTGGTCATGAGATTTGTCGTAGTGAAGCTTCACGGGATAAGGGTCGGTGCTGAAAGTCTGATGGGACACACACACACAAACACACACACGATCAAATCAAACCAAAGTGAGCCTTTAAAGACAGCAGGTCCACAGCATAACAACTCAAGGCAATCTAGACTTTGCTTTTGAAGAGATCCTTCTTTGATGTGCAGTGGTAATGCTTTTGGAAAGTTTTCCTGCAGACTAATGCATCAGGGGTTGACAGGAGCGGCGCTCCTTTAACAAGGCTGTGTGGAGGTGGGCTTTTTATGTAGAAGGTGTTTTTGGTGTCGAGCTGCATAGCAAATCAAGTGGTGACAGACACAATTTCTTCACCACACTGAAATAATGGCTTTCAGTATTTATCCGACACACGGTGGAAATACTCTGAGAGAGAACAATGGATGAGTCGCATGTGACAGAAAACCCTCCTCATGCATTATGTCCACCTGAAAGCAGACAGCTCAAAGAGAATAGGCAGATCACAGGGGACAAGCATGCATGCAGTAGCTAACCACAGCGAGAGAAAGCAATCATCTTTTTTAAAAGAAAATTATTGCCAGCCTGTATTCCCACAATCCCCTTTGACTTACTTTATTTGCTATTTGCTTCACAGCGCTAATAGTATTGTTTACCTAGCCAAAATATATATTGTATCACTGAGCGCTAACAGCCCCTCAGAGGTTTATTGCACATAAGATGAGGATATCTGTTGAATCCTAACTAATCTCTGAGCATGTAGTCATCGGAGGAAACAGGTGTTCCTGTTGTTCTTTTCTCTTCACTAACAACTTGTTTCCGGCTGAGGAAGATTATGAAGATCTGCATCCAATATGTTTGTGTAACTTTACGATCTGACAGCGAAGAAGAGCGGAAAAACTCATCACAGTGCCGTCAAACATTTACCTGTGTGCACTTTGCAATTAATTGGTAATAAAATACAATCTGCTCATTAAAAAAAAGTCTTCACAGAGCATTTAGTTGGTTACAAATTGCAGGATGCTATTTGCTCATTATTATGACTTTACGCACGTCAATCATATTAATAATTCAGTGAAACCTGGAACTGGAAAACCAAAACTCGTGTCTCTCGTACTATTCCAGACGAGAGGCGGGTTCAGGTGGTTAATTAACAACTGCTAATATAATGCGATGAAGCTAAAGCTCCAGGCACCTGAATAATGAGCCTGTGACAGTCTCTGGGAGCCAACCTGTTTACTGGCAGGTCCCCGAGAGGCTGGCAATCTTTAAACAGCCAACACGGTGTCAGGAACATCTGCAGGGATCTGTGCAGCCCTGGATTACCATGGCACTCCCTGAAATGTACTGACACCCAGGATTTAACTCAGCGCTGCTCGCTAGAACTGTGCTGAATGTTGTCATGTAGGAAAGGAGCTCCTTCCTGAGAATGCCTCGCAAATATAAAATTCCCTCAGGAAAATAACTAACTCTCTGCAGGGAGGCAGAGAGTTAGAGGAATTGCTTCTTGCTGCAGTTGTTAAAATATCTATGAAGGGTTGCCAGGTTACTGTATCCGTGCGTCTTGGGGTTACTTGGTTACCACATCGATGGGGCGGTTAAGTGTAGGTCCTGACTTCAGTGGTAAGTATGAAACCGGTCAGGTGAACTAACGGATGAAAAACGGATCTTAAAGCTGGATAAACAGCACTTCAGATCGATACCCTTACAGGGCTTTGGAGTGGAAAACAAAAACACATTATAATGCGGAAAAATCCAATAGATGTTGAACCTGACGAGACAAAATCCTGTAATCTGGTGTCCAACTAGTGTAGGGGTTTATCAAACCTGAATTTATTTTACATTATTATATTAAATTCATAAGGTCAACATGGGGAGGTAAATACAATTATACATCAAACACATTTTAACAATAAATCATTATTGAGTGGCAGCCTGGTTAATGTGTCGGAAAATGGGATGAGCAGCAGCAGATGTAAAATGTTGATTGAATGTACATCACATGTTTAGTGTTTCCCATACATTGATTTATTTGTGGCGGGCCGCCACAATTAAATATGGTCCGCCACAAATGGATCTCGTAAAAAAAAAAAAAAAAAGGTCTAATGGATAGTGAGGTGGGCTGATGATCGGAAGGTTGCGAGTTCAAATCCCGCCTGGAACACCACTACTAGTGTGCCCTTGAGTAAGGCACTTAGCCCTCAGTTACTCCAGGGAGAATGTCCCTGTAATTGGTCATTGTAAGTCACTTTGGAATAAGGCGTCTGCTAAATGCCTAAATTGTAAATTATATTTTTGGGAGAATAAACCCCACAGATCCTCAACTCCGGTGTGTCTCACTCATTAACAACGCAACACAGAGCAACAAGAACGTTGTCTACAGTAGCCATGAACTCGCATGTATCTTCTTATTCGAGGGGGGGGTGGATGCGTCGGCCACCCGAATAGGTTAAGGGGCCTTTGGCGTTTCTTGCCGGGGGGGGGTGCGGTGCCCCCACAAATAGAATCAAATTCTGTGGGAAACACTGACGTTATAATAAAAGGGGACTGTATGCATTGTAAGGTCCAAATACTAGAGGTCTTGATTTTAGTGTGACATTTTGATATTTAAAGCAGCAAAATTGCAGATTAAAAACTTGCTGCTTTTTTTCTACATTGCTAAAAAAAAGGTGAGCTGTTACGGAAATGTTGCAAATAAGAACAGCGCTTAATGACAACAACATTGTGACATCTATCAGTATCAGGTAGAGCCTCTAATCTGATATCATTGGCTGGAACTGAAAGAAAATGTAAGATTATTTAGCCATGTGTCGTTTTAAGTCGACCACCATGTCTGCAGCACACTACAGCACTCACTCTTATTTATGAGGATCCTACTAAATTATAAAACAAGTAGAATTTTTGAAGTGCAAGCGTAACTAATGTGCAAGCTGTTCCAAGAAATACAAAGTTTGATTTGCATTTTTGGTAAAAGTTTGAGCAAGCAGTTCAACATTCTCAAATCATAGTGAAGGACAATGTATTGTATCAAAATGAATCCTCGAGTCAAAGGGGACCATTTTGTGAAAACAGTGTCCTTCATTCCTTCAATGTTGTGTTTAAGAAATGTGGCCGTGGGAACATATGGGAGTTTTTTATTTGATTGTTAGAATAAGATGGAGAGAAGTAATACACTTTCCTCCTCCAACCTTGAGTTTTTTTTTACCCATATGGAGGCCAAACTTAAAAAAAAGAAAACGGAAATACTTTGTGTAAAACTCCTCCATCATCAAACATTGTTGTGCGGAGCTGACAAATCTGCCACGGACCTTGTTTTCCAATTTATCCTGAACCGTACCTGGATAGCCTTCTGAGACTGGATGTCAACTATGAGCACTCGATCCAAGGTCGGCTGCGTCACATAAATAAACTTGTCCTTGATGTTGACCGCTGATGACCACACACACCTCTGAACCTCCTCTCCTGGCGAGGTGGGGCACACCTCCTCCTGGAAGAACAAAAAACACACACACACATTCTCAGTTAATTGTTTTTCATATCACAGGGAAACACGTCTCATTAAAAAACAATTATCTTCATCCAGACGTTACTGTGTTGTTTACGACGAGCGGTCTTATCTCCCGTGCTGATGTGAGTCGTGTTATCTTGGCAACTTAGATAAATGAGCTTTGCAGGGTGCTGAAAAATCTCTGTAATCGCTGCTAGTTGTCCATATATAATCCACACGGCACAAAGCCTGCATACGACGGTTCAGCTTTCAGTCCTGGCAGCTCTCACGTTCCCGGTCAACAAGAACCTCAACCGGCCTTCTGTCTCTGGAGCTTTCCCTCCCCCTCCCCTCCCCTCCTCCCCCTCCCCCTGGTTAAACAAACCTTCAGACCCTGTAGGACGATTTAGCGAGCTGCTGGCCAGGAAGGATGAATGGAGTGCTCCGGCATTGAAGGATGAACTCTTTCTTCCATATTTACAACCTCACAGTCAAATGACTTTCCACAGGGCGACAACACCCATAGGGTATACTGTATATGAAAGCAACCCATCTGGGTACTTTCCCTCTACATCAGGGCTCTGACCCCTTTTTGGGTGAACATATCTTCTGTCATTTGACTGCCGGTAAATACAGTCTCTGAGGTCTTTGCCAGTTGGGTACAAAAACATTAACAATATGGTGCCCACTAGTCTCTCAGGCAAACAATTTCACAATGTTATTAAGGATCAATGATTAGTGTCAAAACATGGTGAAATTATAAGTGATATCACAGGGGATTGATGTCCAATCAGTCTGTCGGTGGAGGAGTGGACCAATGACCCGAGTGTGATGTGGTTGGTTTTTAACATTATAACAGTTTACTTTGACGAATGACCTCATTAGCATCCTAATTAACCTGTGATGAGGGTTTTCCCACAGATGTAACGACTGACTGACCCATTGTTTCAGATTGTTGTCCTCTCTGTGGATGTCCTAACGCCACACATATTTTCTTTTACTGTCCTTATCGCCAAGTGAAAGTAAAGAAAAATCTCTGGACCTTTTGTTGTTGTTTGACGTGCAATAGATGACACTGCAGATTTTTTTAAATTCTTCATTTTCACCCTCACGATGCCAGGCAGTGACGCAGCACTATTGAAACATTGATCATCATATATTTCTTCTTTGGTTTGCCCCCTGCTTATGTTTTATCTGTTGAAAGGAAGGTTCATTTGGGAAGGCATGCAACACTAACATCTAGAGACGTGGTGTTGTTCAGAATACTAAACGATGGCAGTGCTTTGGCATTTTTGGCTTCACAACAATGTCAACAGTGTCCATTTGTAGCACCATCTGTTAGTGTTTTAGATCTGAAACAAGTTAGGAAGGTCTGTTTTTAAATCAGATAAATCCCTGCTCCGGCTGAAGTAATCGTTGAGTCACTGTTATTGAACCCTGTGAAGCTCCTGCAGTCCCACACTGTGGCCATTTTGTGCTACTTGGCTGTACATATCTGACTTTATGCACCTCAAGAGGAGAGAAATCAAACATCTGATACCCAGCTGAGGGTGTGAACGGAGGCGGCTGTAATATTTCACTGTTGGTGTTAAATATGTCTGTAAATGGGTGGGAGAAATGCATGTATATGATTCATGTGGTGACTGACAGCTTCTAAAGAATGCATATATGTATTATTTTCCCTTTATTATGGAAATGTCCTTAGAAAAAAAGCACTGTGTATATTTCATGGATTCACTTTAATCCATACCACATACGGCATTATGCAGCACTGGAACCATGCCAGGGAAAACACAATGCTGCACTGTACAGTATTGTTTGGAAAAAAGAAATCGTAAATGCGTATAAACTAGTGCTTTATATTGCTCTCACTTGTAAATGTGATGATATTTAAAGAGCTGTGTTGACAAATATGATGTGTTCTGCTTCTCCCCAGCTATGCCACTGGATGATTTGTAGTGCTAATATATTTGTCACACAACATCAACAACGTTATCTGCGGGGAGGGAAACTGCAGTAACAAGTGAAACGGCAACATCTCAAATGTCAGAAAGAGGAACTTAACAGCAGCAACACTCGCTTTTATTTCTTGTTTCTGTAACGTCTCGATCCAAACTGCTGTAAACTTGCAGTATGATGGGATGTGTCGGGTTCAGAATATTTCAGCATGTGCTGTTTGTCAAATGGGTGACATCTCAATTGGAATGTAAGCTTACAACCCTAATAACCACATTTTTAAATAACCCTAACCCAATACATAATTACCAGACAGAAGGCTATGTACACGACGATCATTGTTTATAGATTTACACCCTGATTCTTCTTTCTTTTTTTGTTCTATACTAAATTGTGAATCACCACAATGGAAACATTAGGAGCTCAGAAAAAGCTTCTGTTGAAATTGATGGGTAAGAGCACTTTTTTTCGGTTAAGCTACAACAAGAAAAACAGCGTCTACCCATTAAAATGAAATTTAAAAATGTACAATTATGCTGTATTTTTATTTAAATTATCATAATGCAAACTTTCTGTGATTGGACCAAACAGATTGTATTATACATGGTCAACCCTTTTTCCTACAATTAAACTGCATTATTGACTGCGTTTCGAGTTTCATTTTTAACACACGTAAATTGAATCAAAACAAAACCGCATCAAAACGACTTGGTTAGATTTAGTATAACATGAGGGTGTGGCTTAAAACATGTACGTTAGGAAGCTGACTTCTGGTTGCACACAGGACATGAATAGCGGCCTCTTGGGTGAGCGTGTTTGTTGGACCCTCTCATCCACCCCAACCTCCTTCCTGCACTTTGATTTGATTTAGGTTTTGGGAAAGTCATTTTTATGAGGCCAGGCTAACATGGTACATTTTCAATACATACCCACCATACTTCCAAATGTCTGACTAATAAAGAAAACCTTTGAACATCAAAAGAGGACTCCACACAATGCTGTGGCAGCTTGAAAACATGGACGCCTCTTATCGGTCACAGAGGGATGAAAGACAAATATACCTTCCGGACCGACTTTACCACAATTGGACATCACAGTGTTTTTCCCCGCTACTGTGTGTATCGCAGTAAAACACTCTATATGGTACTTAAGGATAATGGATTGGCTGTGCTATTACCATAAACAAATCAATCAATGCTCCTCGGTGATGGAGGAAACGTGAGCTCCATGTGTTCGTGAAGCAATCCCCACATGACAGAACTGGAGCTGGCATCACAGCGCTCGCAGTGATTGATATCCTAATACAAGCACACCTCTCGGAGGAACGCTCCGCTGATTGTTGTGCATTCATGGCATCGCTTCATGTATAACAGCCATCCAATCAGCAGCCGGCTCCTAGATGGGAAGCTGCTCAGGGGAAAGCGTCCATTCAAGAACACATGTAAATCTAACAGGTATCCATCAGCGACTCGCTTTGAATATTTTTCTGCTTAGAGGCTTCGGGGATAAACTGTGTTTTGGTGGGGGAGGCCGGGTGTAAAGACTCCTCTGAGAGGTGAAACCGCCTCTGACTGCCTGTGGTCTTTAAATAACAAACACACTAGTGTACGGTGGCCTCCGAGTCCACTGGGCTTCGTTTTCTGGAGCTAGCAATATGAGACAGAAGAACTTGTGACGATCTGCCCGGGGAAATCAGGTCGGCTGAATCAGTGATTACATTATACGGGTAATATATCACATTTCTGCATGGACATTTAAAAAAACAACTAGTCTTATGTTTTATAATATGTTGATTTAAACTTAGATTATTCCAAATGTATATATAACAATTTTCAAACCCAGAAAAACGAAATCTATTTAAGCTAAAGGTACATTTCATTTATTGTCCTTTAAGGGCGTACTCTTTTACCTGTTTGGACCTCGTTATGCTTGTCACATATAACTTTACTTTTTAACAAGGTAGGATTTAAGTCATCAGACAACTCTTATATATGTATTATATATAGAAATGACGTGAGCAAATTTGGCCTTTAGCTAGTAGCTGTCTCATACCGGTTCACGTGGAAAACACGTCTTTTTTAAGAAGCACAACTGCTCTATTTTTCGTTTACCAACCCTCCTGTTGTCTTCGGGTCAAATCTGACCGATTTACTACTTTCATCAATCATAACTTTTTTGTTTTAGATTCGATTGCATTAAGGCTTTATGATATCCTTCACAGTAGACATTTGAACATATACAATTGCTGATCACCACTTTCATTGAACTTTGGATGATTTAGTCAACTTTGTAACACCCATGGTGTTCCCGGTCAAAAATGACCGCCATAAAGAAAAGGAATTAGTAACCATCTGGTTCAGAACACGAACACACACACACACACACACACACACACACACACACACACACACACACACACACACACACACACACACACACACACACACACACACACACACACACACACACACACACACACACACACACACACACACACACACACACACACACACACACACACACACACACATGTTTTCCCCCCCTTATGTGCCCCTCCCCCCACATGGATCACATCTGGCACACGCAATACATGTTCAGTGTCTATTCTTTGTATATTTACTGCAGTTTTTCATGTATACCAGTAGTCTGATACAATATTTACAGTTTGAAAGGGTGTTAAATGAAATGTGGTGATGATGAATGTTTTTTGTGTTAATGTAATAGCAGTTAAAACAGGACCGGTCAAATTTGACCGTGAACACCAAAGTAAGGGGGGGAACAAACACAATAGGAGGGTTAACCAGCTCTCACCATTTGTTTTGGAGAGGAGGAGACGTCTGCAGATAATTAAGCTCCCACTTTATAGCTGCACTAATCAATAGTTTTAAAGTGTACAGAAACATTTACTACGCATTATAAGAAAGTGGTTGCTTGTAATGACAAACCCTCTCAGCTCCATCATACAGCTCTATGGATCTTCTTAAATCTACAGCGCACTTTAGCATCTTTCAGGTCATTCATTTGGTGTTAAACTTTAAAAGGTTTGCTTCTGTCTGACCCCGATCAACAGTAGCAGCTTCCATATAAATAATAATTCTGATAAACCCACCGAACAGCCAGATATATCCCTCAGGAGTAAGGGAAGACCGAAAACAAACAGCGCTAAGAGTGAGAGAGTGAACGTTGGAATTATAAGGCGGACATAAACAAGACACAAAATGAATGCTAATGTTGCTCTGGGTCTGCTGGATGTGTATAGGGCTAACAGGCAACACACACACACAATAACAACTTTATAATGTGACATTTCTATATTATGTATCTGTTTGCACCGACTTCTCTGTGCAGCCCTTCTTTCAAAACATACACATGTTAACGTTAAATGTCTATATTGTGTGTCTGCAACACCCTATGTGTGCAGCCCCTTTTTACATAAAGCTGAACAAAAACAAAACAACTTTTCAAATAGTTTTTAATAGTTTCATAGCACTTGGGTGTTTTAGTATTATAATTGTTTTCTATATATATTTCTAGTGTTCTATATCCTTCATCTCTGTTTGATGGAAACCATGCATTCCTTAAATCCACAAAGGAACATAATTTGACTTGTAGATCACAACATACATTATTTTCATTAAAGAAAATATTGTTATTCTATGTGGTAAATGGTGCCACACCCTAATGAGCTATTTGTATAAAGATTTCCAAACTCGTTGATATCATATCAAACAAATCATGACACATTCATTGCACTTCAACACATTTACGTGTGTGGCGCAGTGGGTTGTGCGTTGGTGTTCGAATCAGGGGGTCACAGGTTCAAACCAGTCAGCATGTCGTTGTGTCCCTGGGCAAGACACTTCACCCCAAATTGCTCCTGTGGGGATTGTCCACAGTATTGAGTATGTAAGTCGCTTTGGATAAAAGCGTCTAACAAGTGACATGTGATGTGATGTAATTTACAGATAGAGATCATGCAGGTTCTCTTAATAAATAAAACACATTTTCTGTGTGTAAATCATATCTGTATGCACTTGTATATGTAAGCTGTTGGCATGATGTTTAAAGGCTGTGACTACATTTACAAGTGTACATCAATAGCAAAGTGTTTCTAGGTCAGGACGCTGAGTCTTTACCTGCTCGGCTGCATTAGAATAGGAATCCCAGTATAAACTATATTGACGCTCATGATTGATTTCAGTAGCTGTTACTGGGTCAGCCAACAGGACGCACGTCAAGGCCAGCGGATAATGAATCACACCGGTCACACATTAACATATTTTACCATTCCCAGTTAACTGTTTACTCACAGTGGTTCATCGTAAAAGAAAAGGATTTATCATAAATGTTTTAGTATTTATTGCTTCATAGTGCAACATTTAGACTTTCTGATTTATGCCAGCTCGCAACACATCGCTCACTTTTTCATGAGATTTTCTGGTTCTTTTACAAGGTTTTCTAATGCAATTAAATAAAGATTGTAATGGGGAGTTTTTGCCAAGCATCAATAATTCAATTTCTTTGGACGAGAAAGATGTCCATGTGTTTTGCACACTGATTTCTTAGATACAGGGGAGGCGTGTGGCGCAGTGGGTAGAGCCTTGGTGTTGGGATAAGGGGGTCACAGGTTCAAACCCCACTGCAGTCAGCATGTCGTTGTGTCCCTGAGACACTTCACCCCAAATTGCTCCTGTGGGGATTGTCCACAGTATTGAGTATGTAAGTCGCTTTGGATAAAAGCGTCTAACAAGTAACATGTAATACAGATTATGTTACAAATGCTTGTCTGATTTTCTTAAGATATCCACATTTCAGGTTTTAAGCAGTAAATGTGCTGTTCATTGTGTTTTGATATAATGTTGAATATAATGCTTGAATACTAGTGACACCAAGGGAATTGTCAAGCTAAATATAAAAGTCAAAAGCACCAGCCTTGAACAAATGAATAACAAGATCATTGACACATATTCCCCCTGTCTGCAAACAGCTGCTGTGTTACAACCCAATATGCTCTCTTCACGGTCTCCACTAACTCCCAAGAAAACATTTCTTTCTGCTGCAAACCTTTCTTTCTGCTGTCAGGTAGCATACTGTGGGTTAATTAGAGTTTGTTCTTGTTGTTGGTTATACAAGCAACACAGAAATGAGCTGAAAAACTAAGCTGCTTAATGGAAATGACAGAAATTGTAGAATCACAAACAGGATGTTGGTTAAAAACCATCAGAGCTTAACATGTCTGTTGCATGCCCGAGTAAAAGAGGGGACATGTTTAAGTATGATTTGTAAAAAACCTGAAGTACATTATTTACATGTTTTAAGGTTATTCTTACATTAATTTCAAGGTTCAAGGTTCTTTATTGTCAAACTAATGTAGCTACAGAGTAATTATGTCGTTGAAAATCTTAGGTCACAGGCTTCTCCAACAATGCAACACAATAATACAGATAAGCAGACAATATTAAAACAATATTATATTAAAAGTAATACAAAAAAGAAAAATAAGTTTTTAAAAAAGTGAGAAAAAAGAAAAGAAAAGTGGAATAGTGCAATACGAGTCTATATTCAAGTTATTGGAATTATATATTAGATAATAGATAAATAATTACTAAGTAGCAGATGAATGTTATGAAATGTCTTTCTAAACCATAACAGCTGAGGATCATGGGTACTGTACCAAACCAAATCCAACCAAATGAGTAGAACGTGACTAATAACAAACTAACTTGAAATAATAAAGATTGATAATCAAAAACAGAAGTTAAATTAACCAGGTGACTGCTGTGTTTCCTGTTAACTTAAAATAATATAAAATAAACAGTAAGATATGGAAATAATAACATCAGTAAAAGATGATTTATGTGAAGTGCTCCTCACAGCCTCCATTTACACAGATGACTAAAGGTATTTCAGTTCAGAAGAATCACTATAAACACAACATTAACCCTCCTGTTGTCTTCGGGTCAAATCTGACCGATTTACTACTTTCATCAATCATAACCTTTTTGTTTTACATTCGATTGCATTAAGGCTTTATGATATCCTTCACAGTAGATTTGAACATATACAATTGCTGATCACCACTTTCATTGAATTTTGGATGATTTAGTCAACTTTGTAACACCCATGGGTGTTCCCGGTCGAAAATTACCGCCATAAAGAAAAGGAATTAATAACCGATCAGATCAGATCAGATCACACACACACACACACACACACACACACACACACACACACACACACACACACACACACACACACACACACACACACACACACACACACACACACACACACACACACACACACACACACACACACACCACACACACACACACACACACACACACACACACACACACACACACACACACACACACACACAAGATGTTCCCCCCCTTATGTGCCCAATCCCCCCATGTGAATCACACCTGGCACTCACAAACACACACACACACACACACACAGAACAATGTGACACATTTCCCGCTCTTATGTGCCCATCCCCCCACATGGATCACACCTGGCACACGCAATACATGTTCAGTGTCTATTCTTTGTATATTTACTGCAGTTTTTCATGTATACCAGTAGTCTGATACAATATTTACAGTTTGAAAGGGTGTTAAATGAAATGTGGTGATGATTAATGGTTTTTGTGTTAATGTAATAGCAGTTAAAACAGGACCGGTCAAATTTGACCGCGAACACCAAAGTAAGGGGGGGGGGGGGGGGGGGGGGGGGGAACGAAGACAATAGGAGGGTTAAGGTCTAAAAACCTTTCTTTAAAAAAAAAAGCCTTTTTATTAAACTTGTGTTTCTTTCCATTACGCCTCTTGTAGAACTTTGGGATTGCTTTTAGCAATGAAAGTTGCTTTACAAATACAATTTATTATTATTATTATTAACTCATCTTTAAAAAAAAAAGAAGAAAAAAGCGGACTCACCTGCAGAGCTAGCAGCTTCTCACTGGGCTTAATGTGTCGCTGTATCTCACACGCCACAGGCTGAATGACTTTAATACCATCTTCATAGAACACATAGAACATGTTTCCAATGCCGAGACCTGAACAAAAAAGCAAAAACAGACTTGTCACACACTGTGAAGACCCCAAAATAGCTCATGAGACTGCACATTGTGAACATTTGCAACGGAAATAAGCCGACAACATTGTTATCTACGTTCAAAGCATCAAATCATTTAATCCCTCTCATCACAGTTCAGTAACCCCATTACAAAAATTCAATTAACTCAGATTAATGAATCCTATAGTGAAGCAGAAGCAGTCTAGACGTACCTTCTTCTCGCCACAAAATGTTTGCCACTGTGAGGGAGAAAAAGAGGAAAGCGTGGTTAAAAATCAATGCAAGAATCAATGGGGTCCCTTTGTGAGAGCTACCCGAACACTAACTCCTATTGAGGCAAAGAGGAGAGCGGGCCGCATGAAAGTTTTATGGAAACTGTCTCTCTGACACCACACCTCGTGGAACAAACAATCGATAGAGCCCTCTGCTTGGAAATAATTTGATACCAAACACTGGAAAACAGAGTGCAGTCAACACAATACAAGTACTGTAAAGCGTTTATGGTTTGTGCTGCAACACAAGTATGCTGAGAGACATGAAAATAGACTAATAAATACTAAATCTAAGACATCAGATCATCAATATGGGCCGTATGGATAAGACGCCTTAGACACCCATGAGTAGTCCACAGGCTTCAAGCTCAGATGATTATCATACGTCATTAAGAGGGATTAGTGTGTTCGTTCTTCGGTGGCAAACCCAGTTCCTGCTCCTATAGCAGGTAATTCCTCATTAAATTCACTTAAAGGTGACTAATGACGGGGAAATGTCGAATGAAAGCCGCACATAACAACCTGAGTGCTTTAGTGGCTGACCAGCAGCTGTTTGATTTCAAAAGCAGCCAATTACTTAAAATTACATGACTAAAGGGTGATGTGCTAAGAAGAAAAAGTAGAGCCATCATAAAGTTATTTTGCATGTGAATTCTGCTGCTCAATCATTCTTATCCTCCGCCACAGCAGCTGCAGTACTATCCTCTCACGCTGGCTTTTTAACCGTGACCTTCTCTCTCATTGTTCATCCGTCCCCCCGGCCTTCCCTTTGCTTCCCCGTCTTCGGGCATTCTCAGGCTACAAACCAATCTCCAGCTCAATTCACATCCGATTCTAATCGCGCCTCTATTGCAATGCTCATTCCCGCAGCCTCGTGCTCGGGTGGACAGATGCAGAGAGGGAAAAGGGGAGACAAAGCCGAGCAGACACCGTCGTGTCGTTAGTCAGCCTTAATCTTTCAAAAGTGCTTTGTCAAGTGTTTCCTGTGCACTCGTGCATACCTTTCAGCTCATTAAAAGTTACACAAAAAAGGAGTAGGGTCTATAGATAGGAGGGACAGAGACGGAAGGAAGGGAAGGGAAGGGAAGGGCAAAAACAATACCATTTATTTGAGATGTGCCAAAAAATGGAAAATGGAGAAAATGGGAAAGAGGAGTTGAGATGAGATCTCGTGTGCCCGGGTCTTTTCCAATAGCCCACAGTATTGATGCTATTCATCACTTGGCAGAGAGACTGTGGCTGTTCTGCTCATACAAGCAGCCCATACATCAACTTCATCATCCATATAACAAAACAAGCCGGCTGCCACTGTAGGCGGTGAGTTCACTCTTTCTGGCCGTAATAACTGTGTTTCCACCGGGGTCCAAACATTGGGAACGCCACGCTCTGCCCGGACTCTGCACTTCCTGCCCGTCGGCAAGGTTACATAAATCCAATTTGTTTACGGGAGCAGTGACAGTGGGCCAAAATGCCTTTGGTGTTTACCATAGTGGCATGGCAGGAAGACAGCGGATGCATAATAAAAGGTAGAGTGATTGTGTCGGAGTAGACGCGTATGCAGAATGTAACTCTGGAGCCTGCGGTGTGAAGGCTTTCCACGTCTTCCAGAAGTTTCTTGGAAATGTTCTGCTTTAATCATAAGGACAGATACTTTATTATAGAAATACTGCAAGTGCTGTAGTCACTTTCTATGATGAAGCAGAACAGAAATGCAACTCCAACGGGGAAATAAATATCTCTCAGTCTTTTTGCTTTTTCCTCATCTGCATTGATACAAACAGAGACTGTTTCAGTGCAGTGACTCATTGCATGCAGCCCAGGTAAAGCAGATATCCATTTCTACAGCAATGCCAACAAGATTTCAGATGCAGCTGCCAGCGCCCACTTAAAGCACATTGGATTAAAATGCCTCAGGACCCCCCGCCTTGGGTTTTAGCTAAAGCCTCTAAACCTGAACATCAGCAGAAATGTGAATTTATATCAATGTCTTGTCTTTTTCTAATGTTCTCACTATTGATTCTCTATAAAGAAAGTGTCCTGTTTATATTTGTTCTTATTAGAATCAAGGATTAAGAGGACTGACTTTCTTAAGAGCTGTGCAAATAAGCTTCTTACTAAATGCAATGGGGAGCTACAATAACACAGTTATTTCACACATATATCGCGCATGTGTGTGTCTGTCTCTCTCATTGTGTGACTATAGTGACAACATGTGACATTACAATGAAAAAGCTGAAATTCTGATTTCACAATTGTTGTGTGTGTGTGTGTGTGTGTGTGTGTGTGTGTAGGTAAGTTGTATGCAGTGGGAGGTTATGATGGAGCGTCCCGTCTGTGTCTCAGCACGGTGGAGGAGTATGACCCCGTTGCTGATCAGTGGTGCTACGTGGCTGACATGGGCACACGGCGCAGTGGAACACACACACACACACACACACACACACACACACACACACACACACACACACACACACACACACACACACACACACACACACACACACACACACACACACACACACACACACACACACACACACACACACACACACACACACACACACACACACACACACACACACACACACACACACACACACACACACACAATCTGTTAAACTGGTGACTTATCAACGTTGCCTGCGAGTTTATGAGTGTTATACCTGAGGATGTTTTACCCCAAAAGTTTACTTTGAACTTAGACATGTTTTTTTTTCATTTTATAGAAAAATACTTTGATTTGAAACAAAGTTTAAGAGGCTTTCAGGTATACAACTGGTGATACCATGTTTTTTTCTTAGTAATAATAACATTCATAATGATTACAATTATTTGGAGGCACTTTATATGACACCCAAGGACAGCATACAGTTCATAAAAACTCTACAAGACAAAAACACAAGAAGGGCAACATAAAAAGACATTCAAGGCAGACCCAAATGAAGGGAAAAGGAGAATAGCATTGAAAGGAAACAGAGAATGATGAATATTACAGTGTCAACCAACCCTAACGATCATAAGTCACAATGTGCCGGTCCATACCTATACTATTTATTCTACCCTGTATGTTGCTTTTAACCCCAAACCCATTGGTTCCTACAGTTTTTAAATATGTCTGGGCTTTGTAGTTTAATTTGACTTTACTCAAACTGCTGTTAATATTGTTTTTCTGAGGACTAATGATATGAATATTGACTATTTGTCAGACATTTTTTGAATATTTTTTTTAACAATGGCACCTTTATTCAAATATTTGTATATAATTAGACGCACATAGAATATCACCAGCCTTATCTGAAAAATAAAAACTGCTTATTATGTAGTTTACAAAAGGAAAGGTAGAAAATGAAACATCCAGTGCAAGGAATTGAGAATCATAATAAAGCATTGTGAAGTCTTTCTTTGCATCAACTTGAAAGCACCCTGATTAATAGGGGGTCAAACAGGAAGTCATGAAACTGTAACTCTCCGAACAAAAGCAGAATTACAAGGTATATTGTCCTGCATGATTAGCAAATTGAAAGAGATAGTTTATACAGTAGAGGAGAAGTCTCAAAGGGTAATTTAAACGGGGAGATATTTCATGCCCAATTCAAAGCGTCCACCAACTGCTGGTGGCCTTTCTAGTGCGAAAGCGCTTCACTACTTTATGCTTCTCACCTGACTTCCTCTCTCTGCTCCACATAGTCATGACTCACATAGTGATCAAGTCCCCCTTCTGACAAAAGTCTTTCAGCTTTTATGTACTACCCATCCATTTCTCAGGCAGAACATTCTTCAATACTTTTCTCATTGCTTTTAGCACCTCTGGAAAGATTGAGGGCCAACTTCAACGGCAAGTCCCCGGCAGTACAATTTACAGGCAGGTAAGAGTCAGGAAGCTTTCAAAAAAATGAACTAGACTGACTGCGCTAGAATTAGAGCCGGAAGCCTGTGGAGGACTGAGGGCTGTATCATCTTTTTATGAGGACAAGTATTCAACAGACTTAATCCTTGGAGAGAAATGCCGGAGAGTTATAAAAAATATATAAGCTACTGGAGAGAGTTTGAAACATTGAAGCATGAACAATAAAGTCTCTGTCATCACAAACGTAAAGTGCAATAGGAGACACGGAGAGTTAATATGAACCGCCTTACAATGATAGGAAAGGCCAGATTTCTTCTAACAAGAGTGGATTTTCAACATTTCAAGTCACAATATCAACATGACCTTTTAGCCAGGTTATGTTAACGTTATTTCTGTTTTATTCTGTGTAAAGTTATCATCATAAATAAGGATTTGTACATTTTTCTGAGATTGTTGTGTGCTTGCTTTGTCCTCCCTGCTTTATGTTTAGCATTGATCAATTCGTTTTGGGAGTATTTTACAGAATGCATGATCAAAAATGTTCTTAAGCTACGCTGCTGTAACCGGGGATTGCATGCATTTTAAACTTCCTGTTGGATTTACAATATTTATTTCGCAAAGCTCGTAGGATGAAACTCAGCCGACAGTCGGAGCTGCTGGGACTCCTTGTTGCTGACAGCGTGTCCAACACCGTGTGAAAGCCCGATGTGATGGGGAGGGACGCCTCTGATGGGAACATGGACGCTATTTTGGCACGAGTTGATGTTTTCTATTCAGAGGATGAGGAGCAGACAGCATGGCGGACAGACTAAAACAGAATATTTGAGCAGACTTTAGAGTGGAGTGGTGGTTTTCATCGTATCTGCCAGAGTGATTGCATTGTTTTCTCCCAACCAATCACTTCACCAGCTGATGTCCCTGATTAGATCTTCCTCTCGGCCTGGATGTGTGAAATTAAACTGTTTGAAAATGTACAAAAAGGTAAAATGTAAAAAATAAAAAGGTCTGTAAAGACGAATGTAATGGTGGAAGAAGTACTCAGATTTTCTTGAGTTCAAGAAGTCCTGAATGAAATTGTGTTCTTAATTATAAGCACAAAATGATTTGCTTTCAAATCTAC